GAGCGCACACACACAACAACAACACGTTTCTTAAATGCTTTTATATGCATTATTTTCATATATATTTATCTGCACTATTGAAAGTATTTTTAGTTTCTTTGCTTTCTCTATCAAATGATTAACCAGTGTATGTATGCCAAGAAATTGATAGGTTAACGGCTTTGGAATGGTATACACGTCAGCTTAAATTTCCATATGCATGCATTTTATGAAATTAGGGGGAAAAAAAACGTTATTTGTTTGAAAGAAAGGCTTCGTCTTACCTGTGCTCCTATCAATTCGCCTATGGTCCTGAATACTAAGTTTCCGATCTACATCAAATATAGAGAGTTGTTTGTGAACGTATCAACCGCTTTGTTCAACTTTAACCTGCAAGCAAAAACTAAGCATTTTATGCTATATAACTTGTATAAATTTCATGATATCATTTTCATTGAATATATTGCGAAAAGAGACGCACCAAACATGTGAGATTACTCGGCCGCAAAATCTCGGAAAATTGACTCTTCTTTTCTTACGTTACAGTGAAACTTTCTGAATAGTCTGAGCTATTATTTGCCCTGCATTAACAAAGACCCAAAGACCCAAAACATTAACAGATGCCTTCGCTTGGTTTCATACATGGAAATCCGAAGTTTCGATTGAATATATATATATATATATATGTGTGTGAATGGGTCTACCGCGCTTAATAACGTAAAGTTGCTCTAATTTTTTTTTTTTTTAGTGTTTTATCACTTTGTTGTCTAACCTGGCTTAGGAGTGTTACGTTGGTAAAAGTGCGTAAAAGAATAGGAAATGCGTTAAAGAAAACATTCAGCCCGTATATATATATATATATAGTTTGTTGGAACATCTGATGCAGTTACGAACATAAAAAAACAAGTGAATAAGAGTCGACGATGGCTACCAAATTCGCATTCATTTCATATGATTCGCATTCGCTGTTGTGCAATTGTTGATGCACATATAAAATTGCTAACGCCTGCCTATATCTACATATGCGTTCATACACACGCTCTTTAATATGTATGATGGAATGTTTTGACAGTTTGTTGGTGTTTGTTTCATGCCCCATAAAAATGCCACTTAACATTGTAGATGGTAGAATGGTTCGTTGCTCATTAAATTTACCACAAGCCTGCAACATGTTGTCTTCCATGCATGCAGTTGCAATTGATGTGCCACATGTCATACATAGCATAACAACTGTTGGATCGTTACGTAGGTGTTGCTAACTACAATAGAGATAAAAAAAATAAAAAATATTATATATTATATTATAGCATAACATTTAAAGGCATTGCATTTTAGATTTCTAATATAAATAACATTGTAAACGTTGTTTGAAAATTTTAATTGTATACCCACGTAGAAATGGAACGATTTGTAAAGATCCCTCAGCACTTGAACTTGAAATGAAACAAATAATTGCAATATGATGCAGCGAAACTCATAAACACGGATGATCAGAATTTGTCTTAAGTGTCAAGTGAAGATAAATATCAAATTTACATATACATTCACGCACTCTTTTTATTACATATACATACATATGTTTTCGTATATGATACATACTTGTACTCAGACATTACTCATTGATGGTGGAGGAGGAGGAAGAGGAGGAGTAGGAGGAGGAGGAACTATGTGAATATGAGTCTTTCGTCTAATCTATACAAACAAGATTTCTCAAATTTCAAAAGTGATTACTTTCACAGCCCAAAATAGATATCCATTGATATTGAAGTAAAAGCGAAAATCTTCTCAAGTGGTCGCATATGCGGATGTTTCATATACGTGTACATGATATGTTATATTCAATTGTTTATATACATTGGAAATTGTATAATGCGTCTCGAGCTAATCTAAATTAAATATATATATATATATAAACAATAATATTAGGTTGTCGGAATAAATGAAAAGCTTGACATTGAATCTCATTATTTGTGCAACTTTAGGGTCCATAAAGTCTGATAACTGTATCTTGTCTTCGATGTATCTTTGACATGAATCGAATATATTATAGTCATATGATCTCTGATCTGAAAAAGTTAATTAAAAATATTTGAGCTACAATTCAGTTCTCGCAAGGTAGACGCATAAAGAAATAAACAAATAGGCGAATATATGTGAGGATAAAATAGTCAAGAGCTAAGTCGTAGACTTTACGCATTTGGCATTTGAAAAGAGAATGAATTCATGAAATGAAATATGACGTACCGTTATCAAAATTCCTCCGACAACTTATCGTTTGTTTTTATGCTCAGTAAAAGGCGAATAAACATAATAAGGCGCCATATTGCCTAAATAGTTTGCTCACGCTTTACAAACAAAGTGTACATAGTAGTCTCGATGTGAAAATCTAAAAATAATTAAATATGCGTCATGACTTTTCTGACCACCCGATATCACGTATACTTTGGATTGAAATGTGACACGTTATCACTTGAATCTTTTTGACATTAGATGCCTGTGTATTGGTTTGCAATTGTGTGACACCGACACAACATTTTCAACTATTCTTGCTCATCTCAATGCGTAGACCTACCGCATGCTGTATAGATCACCTACATAACTCCTTTACAATGAGATATGTTTGTCATGGAAAACTATAACTTTTCGATCAATTTTCTTTTTTTTTTATTTTTTTTATTTTTGTCCATTAATTTATTGATTTATTTCTATTTAGTTATATGGTATAAGCTTTGCTTATTGAATCTAAAATGATCCTCAAACAATTCAAAATGAATTAAATTAAATAATACATTCACTCTTTATATCAGCAAATCAAAAATTGCGCAACAACACGATTTTCAGATATGTTATTTAAGCTATTTATCAATGCTAAGGTATACAATTAGAAGTTATTTGAAGGAAGTTATTGAAAGGAAGAAGGTAGACACAAACACCTACACACACAAATACACATATGCATGTGCATGTATATGTATTTGTGTGAACATATATACATTTGTTCCTTATAGAAAAACATTTTCACTTTTCATGTTTAACTTCCGTCGAACAGTAAACATAGGTAATGGTAATAGAAGTAGCAGTGGTATACATAGTCATATACCTTCAGTTAAAGTGTTTGGCTTCCCTTTTCCCGGTTCTAATGAGCCGAATTGCAGCAACATAATGTGTCTTCAAATTCAATTTTGCCGAGTAAAAATTGGCATTCACCAATACACAATTATAATCTCTCTCTACAACAACAACACTCTAGCAGTTATCTTTGTTACATAAAATTTGCATAATGATGAAAATTAATAAAAAAAATCGTAATTGTATTATCCAATACTTGAGCAGTGGTGATACGAAGCAAAAACTCGGACTCGATTTTGAGCACTGCTCAAAAAACAAAAAGTATTGAGTTAAATCTAGATATCTTATGGTAGTCTTTTGAGGCTTTGTTCACACTGGGCATTCCAGTGAAAAGTGGTGCCAAAGTTTAGTCGTCGGAAGCATATTTCTATATAGAAGACCAGATAGTGGGACAGAAGAGAACAGAGACACAGAGAGGGAGAGAGAGAACTTTTAGACGTCTTCGAGGCTTACTATGCGAAAAAGAGAATTTTTATATTGTGTAAATCAATCAATCGATCTCCCTTAAAATGACACCTACTGTAGATGTGTCGGTAGATTGATAAGAACTGCACTGTACACTTAGTGGCTCTGAAGGCCGCTTCTCAGTTGATGTTCAATCTTTTAGAAAGGTGATGCGATTCCGTTCAAGTTTTGCTATACGATTGCTGTGGTTATCTAAGCTAAAGGAACCTGTTGTTCGTATTATATGTTATGTGTATACATATACATATATATGTACATATATATATTTTTTTTAAGAGTAATCTTGTGATCTGTTTTTGTGGGCACGGTGATGACCACGAAGGAGAAGAAATGGTATAACTATTCTTCAGAATATTTTTCCTTACCCTGAAAATATATTTTTTAGGCAAATTGTGCATTTTTTTCAAGTAACGTCTAAAGTGATATTTTGTAATTCCTTCAAGGTAATCATGTACAAAATGCTTCTGTGGGTGCAAACATTCATTTCATTGTCAAAAAACGACCTCCTTCTTGGCTTTTGCTTGATTAAAACGTTTTAAATTAAAGCAATAACTTTCGTTACGCTAATTTCGTTACAATGTTTTTTTTTTTTTGTTCTACCAGCTTGAATGTAATCAAGTAATGATATATTTTTTAGTATGCTAAAAACCTATTCAACATTTTTTCTAATTGCTTTAAAGCGCTACGATTATTGCGCAACTAAGGAATTGGATGCAGATCATGAGCCAAGTTAAGTTTCGAATATCGTTGTTTTATTCTTGAAAAAGTGAATTATTTAGTGATCAAAAATATCTATTTAACGTCGACGTTGACCATGGTTTTGTGTTCCTTTCTTTATTCTTCGAAAAATAAATTATTTACTGACGAAAAATCTCTTCTTAACGTTGACTTTGTCTTTGAGAACTTAGGAAAAGTGCACGCACCAAGCGCACTTGTCTCTCTTTTTTCAAAGTTGACACACCAGTTGCTTGCTTGAGATGGTCTATCGATTTCAATTTCTGATCAGAAGATTATATGCTTCTTGTATTATTCCTCTCGCAACTTGCAAAAGTAAGATCATACTCATTTACTTGGACGATTACGTTGAAAGTTATCTTCATAGTTAAAAGCTATCGCTTTTGTAGGCGTATACTTACTCTTATCGGATTTCATTTGAATTCACTTGGGTTTATTTTACTCCTTCATATGATTTCTGGTACGATCTTCTCAATAATATACGGACACTGCAATATCTATTTGCCAAATTTTACAAGGGATAATAGAAAATTAATATCGGTTCATAGGCGAAAATTGTAAAAAGACTTAGCAAATTTAACGGATTTATGTGACGCTATAGGAAGCAAATAAAAGGAAATGAAAATCATTATCTCTGATCGATTTGTAGTATTTTTTTTTTTCTTTTTCTTTTTTTTCGCTATCTTTTTCTCTATATTTAGAAAGATCTCTTATATGTAACAAATACATACACACACACACACACGATAAAACAATTTAAAAATAATACTTGACTGTATAGTGTTAATACTTATTTATCATTGCGATAAAATTCTTTTGGTGTATAATGTTCCTTTCAATTATATTAAAGCGTGAATTTAGATATACCGCTGACAAGATGATGTACGCAAATGTTTAATGTATATATGTATATACGTATATATAATTTATACATATGTAATTTTGAAATAATTCTATCTAGGTACTAAGTCTATATAACCATTTGGTCGCATCATTTGATGCGATGAACTATATAACGTTTGATAGCCACCCAGACCGTACGAAGTGACCGTTGTAGTTGCACCAGTCGCGGTTGCATCGTTGACGGTATTGCCTGTATTTTGACGCATATGACTGGAAACTTTGATTTTATCATACGGACTTGTATAGCCATGGGCATGGTAGTATGGATTGTGGTGGTAGACGGGACCAAAATTGCTATTATCTCTGGCATATGGTTGAGCAATGGGTGAATAAATATTCGTTGGCATCGTTGCATGGTGGTGGCTATGCGTTTGCGTCGAATTTTGCATATAATGTTGACTATGAGCAGTCATCACATCCGTTGTTTGTACATTTGAATTGATGCACATCGCATTCGCGTTCCGATGATGGTGACTTAGACCAAAGGGTGACGAATTGGCGCTATGATGTGATTGATCTGTCTTCGGTGAAATACTACCACCGGGACCGCCGCCGCCGCCACCGCCACCGCCACCGTTACTGTTCGTTAACGGGTTCAAAAGCGTGCAATTACTTGCCGATGAGCATTGATAATTATTTATATCGGGAGAAGTTCCGGCATTAGAGGAAGACGAAGCACTATTTCCAATATGATTATGACCCAATACCGGACCATTTGAATTTTCCGCTACTAATGTTATATGTTGATTTTCCATTTCAATGTCTACAAAATTTCAATGTCATATATGGGTTTAAAACCGATAGTGAATAAGATTAAACAACTTGCCTAAATTCGTATCTTTGTGAGTGCTCTTATATTGTTGATTGCTGTTGTTAACTTGTTTCATTCTACTCGGACCTTCGTGATTTATTTGCGGCATGCTCAAGCTGCCCGTTGTTCTATGAAATAGGAAAAAACAAAAAAAGCGAAAAGAGAAAAGAAAAAAGAAAAAAGAAAAGACAAACGAAAATGTATTGACTGTGTTTGTGAATGATATATATATATATATATATATAAATAGTTTTTATAAGTTATGATTATACGCGGATGCGTGCATGATTTGATATAAACAGAATAATATTTTTTATTAAAGTAAATCTCTGCCGGAGGATCGAAATGATTTAGGCCTTTGTCTGTAACATAAAAGTACATACATACATAAAGATGATGGATGGTCTTACTGGCAGGGTTTGGACTTCACCACCATATATTTACTGTAAGCTAAAGGGATTATGCCTTCGCTTAAGATATATGTAATAAATAGTTGAGAATTAAAATCGTTTGGAAAATCTTTCCGCTTACGTAGGAACAATTGCTTTAATACTGAAATTCTTTAAGAGCTTTTTCAACAACAATCGCTTACTCAATCTCTTTTGCTTTTAATTATCGGTTCTCCTAAAAATTGAATTAGAAAGAATTCAGAAAAATTGTTTCAGGTTAACCATTAACCATTTATCCGATTTATGATAGAACATAAGAGAATCATTTGCTTTCTTTTATGGTTTTGAATAAATAAATTAAACAACGTTAAGACCGATCGTTATACATACAGGAGTATATATTAGAGACGGTCCTAATTAAAGGTGAACGCTAAAGTAAATCAATTATCGTCAATACATTTCATTTCAACTTGTTGTACTTCTTCTCCTCGATATTTTCAAAGTCAAAAATTTTTACGTATACATCATATATGTACGTATGTACTTATAAATACATATTTTTTTTTTTTTTTTTATTTTTTTTTTTTTTTTTTTCTTTTTGTATTTATTATTGCTCGCGTATACCGCCACATCTAAATAGCGACCCTTTATCCAGACTGTTTATCATCTCGTTACGAAACAGTCTCTCTGCCTTTTGAAATTAAATTACATGCAAGTACATATGCGCCAGTAATCATTTCGATATGTATATGTAAATATGTCCAATAAGCGCAGTAGCGACCTATATGCCGTTAACGTCGCTTCTGTATTATTCTCAGAATTCTTTTTTAAACGATCGCTAGATGATTTGTTTATATTATCGCGAGAGATTTATATTCATATCGTTTTAATTTCGTTACACTATAAATGCTTAAGTGAAAAAAGGAAATAAAAAAAAAAAATTAAAAAAATAAAATAAAAAAACAAAAATAAAAAATTGCTTTCAATAGGCACTTACACGTCATTAGTACCATCATCTCGGAATCCCTTTGCAAACGGATTGCTTACGATCTTCAATTGTGTGACCTGCGAATAAAAAAAAAAAATGAAATAATAAGGAGAGCTTCTTGTAAACTTTTTAGAATATAGTAAACGAATTTTTTTTTTTTTTTTTTATTTAACCTACTCGCTGATTTTGATATGCAGTCACAGCAGTGAACGATGTCTCTGGAAATATGAAAGTCCGATAATGACTGGAGTGTTCGTTTTCATTTAATGACGGATTCTTCGTTGGCAGATAGACAATATGAAAACGCGGCTGATAGCGATGCATTGAATTCAGTATTATCTGCAAAGAATAGCATTGAAATATGAAATAATCGAAACGAAAATGGAATATCTATGAAGCGATTACATATCGTTATTGGCTAAGGTAAATTATACGTATATGATATATGATGATCTCATCTCTCATCGTACAAATCATTCTTAAACAGTTTTTTGATTAAAGGAGTTGATTCTTAATCGTCGGCCGGCCATCTGCCGACTTGTCCGCCTTGTCCGTCCGTCTAATTTCTGTAAATATATTTTTACTTAGTCCGATAATTTTCGGGAATGATTTGACTTAAAATGTTTCGGCTCAAAAATACACGCTATTCAACACGCTATTGAGTCGATCGGACAATTTTCGCGAGCACCCATCATACATTGATAAAATGAAAGTATTTTATAGAAAGCAATATATTAATCGTAATAGTATATAGTATTACGGGCGACATTGAAATCCTTATATAGTTCGATTTTGATATGTGGTTAAGTCAGTGCCTTGGTTCGAATCGAATTGAGAGGAAAACGTGAATCTTCGTATCCACCTTCTCACAGATCAGGTTCTAGAAACAAGCGTAATTCGCCATAGACATACACGCGCCTATACGTGGACAGACGGACTAAAGTAATTAAAATTGACTCGGAAAAACTCGCTGCTCAATTCCTTCATTGCAAACAATGAATGACAATATTAGCATACAGCAATGCTATCATTGCTAGCAACGCTTACGTTCATTCATCTATAGGCACGTTTATACTTATAGCACAGCAAATTTTTTATCACATATTTTGAATTTTTTTTGTTTTTTTTTTATTATTTATACTAAATTTTTAAGAAACCATATTTTTCCAGCTGCTTTAAAAATTTAAAGAAATTTCGAAAAGATTCTGAAATATGCTCAACATATTGTTAAATATATATATATATATATAGGAGTAATTTATAGGAAATATTTATGAATGAAAAAAAAAAAAACGTATGTGTGATAATTTTATTTACACTTTCTATACATAGGGGTGTCGGAGTCAGTGATATAATAGTTTTCCATTACTTACATGACCGTTCTCATCAAGTTGATTGTTCGTTAGTTTTAATTTGTCAAAGGAAATGATTTGTTTCATCCAATTGGCACCGTGGGCTGGCGAGTCGGGATGCACATGAATCCGTGGCGGCGATATGGGATCTGCTTTACCTGCCACAACCCAACTAGAGCTGAAAGTTTTTGCTTTTTTTTTACTTTCTTAATTTTCAAAGTGTCATCCGTTACAGCCTTACTTACTTGTGAAAAGCGTAACGATAACGCTTGTCATCAACTGGCACAAAATCCATCATCATTATATAAGTGGCTTGGGGATCTAAGCCGCCAATACGTACTTGAAATGTGGGAAACATACGACGGCCGGACTTAGTTACAATCATTTCTGTGCCTTGTTCGTGAAATTTATCCCATAACGATTTCGTTTCTAAGACAACAACCGCTTGAGCTAATGTCGGATGGATAATGCTTTGATCTTCGGTTTTCCCGTTTGTTAAGAGTTCTTTTTTCGTTTTACTTAACTTTTTATTTGTAGCTCTGCCTGGAAGAGCGATTATACTTGCGTTAGTATTTGTATTATCGCTGCGGCCATTGCCATTTGATTCGTCATGATGGCCGTTGCTGCTATTATTGTTATTGTTGTTGTTATTGTTATCGTTACTGCTAGTACTTCTTGCCGTCTCATGGCAAGCATGGCTTTTATCATTGGCCAAACGATTTGCCTCTGGTTGAGAAATCTTTGCGTCAATGCGATCAAGCGGTTTAAACGTAGAACGATCTTTGCCGGCCGTTTGCAAACACGCTGAAAATGTTGTTAAGCTTTAAATGTACGCAGAAATCTTTGTTTATTCCATCTTCGAAATCATCACTACGTATGTCTACGACTTTGAAAATTTTGAAAAACAAGATAATAAATAATAACAACCTGACTGGAAAGACACTAATCCCTGTTCCTTTTTCTGCCCTCTGCCGGTCACAGACAAGTAATGGATATTAAAACATTGGTCTCAAACGCGGTGTGAAAAGCGTTTTACTTACTCTCTGAGTGAAAAAAAATATAAACCTGTCCTACACCTAAAAACATGCAGGTGTAACAAGGTACGCATATACCTGCGCACTTATTATTATCATAGACTATTTATATATTTAAATTCCGCGACAAGATATGGATATAGCACATAGACACCTTAAATGCGAGACTCCAGCTTCTCCTCTTTTTTTTTCTTGGAATCAAACAAAAGTTTTGCCCAGAGATATTATATCTGTACTCGAGTGGAAGGCATACCCGAGCCTATTTAAGGGTGCAAGCACACAACTTATATGATACAATCCCACCGGAATAGGGGAAAAGAAATGGCTATGACGTCCCGCTTACAGAAGAACTCACATTAAAGCATTCCAAGAAGAAATAAACAAGCAAGCTAAGTAAGTAGGTAAAATTCAAGTGCAGTCACAGAGCACTGCTATCGATCCCAATGCGGAAGTGTCTGAAATCATATTCCGCCAGTGGGCAGTACTTCGGTAAATGGGAGAACATTAAAATGTTATCTTTTGTTTATCATTTATTGTCCAATATATCGTTTGGACCAAATCCGTAGCATTGAATCGTTACCATGTGCGCGTGTGTGTGTGTGTGTGTGTCGATTGCAAATAGTAGACGTCGATTCTAGTAAATATTTGCCCATTAAATTTCAAACGACACGCATACATATGTGTTATAAATTCCTAATAAACATTTGATCCAAGTGAACTATTAATGCCTGTGACAACAGATGATCGACCGATTCTTTAAAAATATAAGCAGCAAACAGTTAAGCGGTTGAACCTTTGATACTGCGAGAGTGGCGATAAGAGATGACAGATAAAATTACAGACTTTTTGTCGACATTTCTGACAAACTATAAGATATGAAATCGTTTATATACAGGCAGAAGTTGTCTATCTCTGATTTTTACGTTTAACCCAGAAGGGAAGCGCAATTGCTTACTCGATTTTTCCAAAACAGTGATTTATTGCCAAAGGTCTGACAGAAAAACAATTACTGTTGCCAAACACTAATTGATTTTCGAATATTTCGAATGAAGGCCGTCTTGCAATCTGCAATTTCAATTTTGTACATACATATATATATATATACATATATATTTGCACATATAAAAAGGGAGTTCCAAAGTGAACTGATATCATGACATAGCCTCGACAATAAAATAACGCGGATCTCATTATCTCTTTGTGATATCCATAATACTTTCTTCCCTACTTCCAGTTGGGATAATCTTATTAGGAAAGCTTTAAAAAACGTTAAGAATAATTCGCCTTAACCTTATTGATATTTGTGAAGAAGCCAAGTACTTTTCTCATTTGCTTGCAAGATACTTTTAATCTTATATAATTTAAACGTCAATATTTTTAATGCAATAAATAAACTCTATTGATTGTCCGGTAATATGGTTTACATTTCGATTTTTCTTTTATCAAGAACATTTCATCTACTTTTATAAGGCAAGACGGCGACGATCATTTGTCAAGTGTTGTAGTTTCGCTTACACATAACTGTGACACGATGTGACTGTCAAATTTCTAAAGAGTTAAACGTTAGCGTTTACCCAAAATTATAGCTTATGTTTCCAATTTTCTGTTGATTAAAATTTGATTCAATCGATTCATTGAATACTATAAGTCGAAAACAGGAACATCTATTTTGCTAGTGGTGTCTAGCACGTGATCATATGCTGATAAAGCAAGAAAAAAACAAAAACTATCATTTGTCCGAAAATATGATTCATATTTAAATTTTTACTCTTCTTTTAAATTTGTGATTTACTATCGTATAGCAAATTTGGAGGATTCGCTTATTATATTAAATGCTCTCCACCGCAACTTACTTCTACCTTAGTATCATTCCTTTCAAGATATATCGCTTGACCGAAACACTATCGCAGTTTACACGCATTTAAGAAAAACTCGAAAAGTTCAAAAAATTACGATTTTCAATAACTGATGTTGGCATGGATGGTAGATGTACGCATGCCCAGCTTATTTATTATTTATGGACGTGTTATGATTTTGTTAAATATTTATCTGAAATTTTTGATTAATATCTGCTAAAGGAGGCAAGCGTGATTGACGGACAAATGGATTTGACTCGAGAGAGAGATATGCTTAGGATGGGGTTACAATATAAAAAATTACTTCTTCTTTAATTTCTTTTTTTGCTTTTAAGTTAACCGGCAGCCCACTTTGGAGCACCCTCTCGCTGCGCATGCATAATATGCGTTCATTTCGTTTCGAAGCAATGGCAAATAGAAAAGAAAGTAATTTAACAAAAAGAGATTCCAATGTCTTGCTTGTGACAATTAATGACTCAATGACCTGTCATGGGTCATACGCAACACACGTAGATGCATACAAATGCAATGTTTTGCGTTTAAACTTTTTTTTTGATATGGTTTATCTATGTAAATTTATATGTCATCGAAAATACATACTTTCACTACAATGCGTGCGTACGTGCAATTACTTCAAATCACTTCTCTAGTACAAATTGCAAAGTTTTTATGTTTGTACATTTATGTTAGGTATCTTTGTGGCGATATTCTGAAAATAAATACCGCCAGATAAAACACATCTAAAATTAAAACAAACGATGCTACTTGTTACAGAAAAGGATTAATTTATGTGCACATAAGTTTATGCACGCTTATGCATTTATATATTTTTTATTTATATAGGAATTGTGGGAACATGAGTTTATATGTTCGCCATCAAGCGTGTCATTCAACATAATGTTATTTTTGCCTATTAATTACAACATTTACTAATTAAGTGCTTGAAAATTGTGGCAATCTTTTATATTCCATCGTCGATGCCCTCGTCACAGCAGTAACATCTCCAAAGTTGACAAACAACTATAACGCGTTCGCGGACATGCTCGTTTCGATAAAGGCGAAAGTGTTATGTCATGTACACGGACAATGCCATATACATGATATATATTATGTTCCCTTGGGTCGTCGGACACTTTCACTTAATTTGTTCGCCTGCAACGATTACAGTCGAATAGTTCGCGATTTAAGGCATCCATAGTGCGTTTTCTAAGTTCTTTATAATATTACAGGCTTCCTAGTGATTAAACTGTGTCTGACTTCTTATTAAAAATTGATTTTTTTTCCCCCTTTTTTAAAAAGAAATCCTGCACAGATATTAAATAGCATTCAAATGATATCTTCATTATAAACGGATTTATCTTTGAAGTTCTTTCAGTACATTCGGTGAACGCTTCTCAATGTGTCTCCCTACAGGAGGAAGGACTAATATATATATTTATACATATATATATATGTCAATATATAATGAAAAGTTCTTGAAGATCCTTTGAAGTCTCTTAGGGGTGTTAGTTAGATAACTAAATGGATAAATAAACTTTCCAAGTGACAAAATCCCTTAAATTAGTTTTGGGTAGTACTCGTGATGGCTGTGATATCCTCCCAATCCGAGTGCGTTAAATAAGTAGAGGTGCTTGACAGGCCTCGCCCTACCCAGAAGAAGAAGAAGAAAGAGAGAAAAGACCTCAACTATTTCTTTTCTGGTGCGTCAGTCTTGGAATAGGTCAACTCTTCCGCAGGATTTTCTTGCAAGCCTGAGAGGTGTCCAATTCAATTAATTAATTGTCAACCCGTCTGATTAAGGCTTCACGCTAGGTGCAGGTTCAAATATTCATATTGTTACGAAAATCCCACATTTTATGACAAAGAATCATGACGCTTTATCTATCTGAGAAGAAGTCAAAATGATCGGCTCACACAAGAGTTGGGAAGAAAAAAGTTTCCTACGGTTGATAGTAGATCAACGCTTCGGTGAACAAGTAGAAAAAAATGAATGTGAATATAATATCGAGAGAGGGGAGCAAACCGACCACTTTGGAGGAACCAAAAATCCCGACACCAAGAGGTAAAATCGCCACGGCAAAGATATCATGCAATTCATGCAACAAATGCAAGCAATACAACAAGTAATAGCATTAAAAACTGACGAGATGGCGGCAAAGATCGATAAACTTCAGAAAAGTCAAGGCGTTCAAAAACAACGCGTAGATGAAGTGTATCAGCAATTTGAAGGAGCGCGAACATGCTCGAAAGGAAGATTGGTGAGCCGCTAAACAAGTTTGATGTTAGAATGAATGCCCTGTTAGACGGGAATAGGAGGAAAATGCAGACGACCTGCGAAGCGAAATGAAAGCCTTAAAGCCAGCAAAGGCTAAGCTAAAAATTAATGGCATAATAGCCAGCTCGACTAAATTAAAATGCCCATATTTGACGGTACCACCAACTTCATCACATTCAAGTTGCAATTCGGTGTCGTCGTAATAAAGAATGCATAGGATGACGACGATAAAGCGATCGCCTTAATAATCACCTTGAGAGGAGGAGCAACAGAAACCATGTAGATAAGATTCTGGAAGGAAAAAGAACAAAATTCCTTGCGATGCGCTGAAGTTATCTACGCGCTGCCAGAAACCGAACGAAAGAGTCCAAGATTATCCTACCGAAATCGAACGTCTGGCTAACGTCGCATATTTCGGCATATCCGGGAACGTGCTTGAGAAGTTGAAAAGTGAGGCCATTGTAAAAGGACTTCCTGATGCAAGACATAAATAGACAGTGTTTACTAAAACCCTCGGTTTCGCACTTCTACAAGAAGCCACTCCCCGGCTGTACCGGGGGACAATGATATCTCAGATGTGGACTGCGAGGCGGTCCGAAAACTTCTGACCGCAGAAAAGCAAATGGAAGTTTTATATCTGCCAGAAACCGGGTCACATTGCACAATATGCCGATCGAAGTACATAAGAACACACTCCATATCACCTACGCATAATGTGAGAGAAGATGCTAACGAAATGTCCAACGAAAAGGCGTTCAATTGAAAAGAGTCAGCACAGCGCGGAGCAAACCTTTCCCGTTGAATTATTAATAGTACAGTAGTCAAAGGGAAATTTGAGTAGTTAATTGGAGCATGCTTTTGGACGGCAATAGGTGAAGAAGTTGCTATTAAACGTAACGCTATCCGAAATATTACAATTAGCGATGTTTTAGTCAAGCATGAATTTCTGGCAGCAAATATACTGGATAAGGTGCTACTGGGCATCGGCTTTTGGGCAAAGCATAGCTTCGTACTTGATATGGGAAGGCAAATGCTACAATACGCTAACGTAACCTTGCCATTGGCTGTAAGCTAGGATAGAGCAACCGAAATATTGTAGGTTGTAGGGTTAGTTCCCGCACGCAGGTTGGTATTGAAAATGGGCCAAGTTGGCCAGAGCGCATGCCTATTAACAAGTCCGTTTCTCTAAATTTTTACTCATAATTTTTGCGAAAATTTCTATGGAAATCGGCCATGCCCACACAAAATAATAAGTTATTGTATATTATCTTTTTTTTTGAACTTTACTCAGATTCTATGCTTGTTAATAACATACGATAAACAAGGCAGGTGGGATTGGTAAGGAATTGTCCATTATGAGCTGCTATAACTTGCTTGGCGCAACCATCCATTCGGTCCTGTAATGCCTACAACTCGATCATTTGAACGAAGCAATCTAGGAAGAGCGACCAAAATTGGCCAACAGAAAGTTAGTTATGTCATCTTTGATGACTCGGAACAAATTGACCGAACCTGATTGGGAAGTTTTGATGCGTTCCTGCACTCTCTGACTACCATTTATCTCGGTCTCTGCAAAACTCTCTTGATAGTAAAAATGTGAACGACCGAAGCACCGTTGAAAATCACTTGGCTAAGTTTTCGACGATAAACCATAAAAGCTCTACACCGACGAAATTGTGAGGGTCATAGATAATAATGGTCAATAAGTACTTGATTAAAATTGCTTTTCAATAAAGAGAATTTTTTTTCTAAAAATGGACGAAAAAAAACTGCAAAGTCTTTTTACATGACCCAATAAATGAGGTGGACATAAGGACGTGATGGACTAATTTTTCGTCGCAATTTCCTCGATGGGGTTATTAAATAAAAGGACGTGGAAAGTAGAATGTGACAGGCTGAGTATATTAATTTTAAATTAATTGTAATGGATCTCACAACTAATTTTAGCTTAACAATGACTTTTAGTGAACTAAAAGATGGAAAATAAATTTTATGCCACTTCACCTTTTTTTAATCAGAAATAAAAGCATAGGGTGCTTAAGATTTTAATGACGATGGGTATACGATATTCGCCTTCATCCGAATATAGCTTTTTTATTTGTTTTTTTCTCTAATAGAGCTTGTTCGTAACCTGTCTCCAACATTTTTAGCACGAACCATTAAAAAAGCTTTTGCTTAAATACATTACATAACACGCGTGGCTGGAAAAAATTTTGCCGCATTACGATGAAGCTACATCCACGCCGCAATAGTTTCGAAAGAAGTAAGTAAGAAAGTTAAAGGCGGTCGGGATCGAATTTTTAGTACCTATCACCGTTTATCCTAAAAAAAGACAAACGAAGTAAATGGAGCAAAATTCTCATGGAGTGAAAGCAGCTGAATTTTTCTATTTTCACAATAAAAGTTTCTGTTATATAGCCATATGGGCGTTGTAGGTGTGTCCTCTCAAAAGTTTAGATCAAGTCCAAATTCTGTTGCAAATTTGATTTTCGCTAACGGGAGAATGTTTGCCACAGATACGGTAAAGTTGCGCCAACAGACAGATGGACAGATGGACAGGCGGACTTGTTTAGGTGTATTCCAAATTTGAAACTGGCCAAGAATTCGTACACTTTATACAGGCATTACACAGACGGACAGACGGACAAGATTAAATCGATTTAGATATTGATACTGATCGACAATACATGTACTCTGCGTGTCGTCTCTAGTGCTTCCTTCAGGGCGTTGCAAACGTTTTTGAGAAAAAGAATATTACTCCCGTCGTGCGCTGATGGTTATAAAAATCACTTTTACTGATAACTTTACCGTCAACTTTTCACTTAGTAAAATCTCGAGTAATTTTTAGTAGAAGAATATGACAAATGGTGAGAATACCTTCTCCTTCCGACAAAAGCAATGGAAAAATTTGCAAAAAAAAAATTCTTTAAATATTTGACTTAAAGTGATAAATATTCGAAAAAATATTAAACTTAAATGCAACTAACAGTAAATATCTGCGTGCAACGGAGAATCAGTTGCACTCTCTCCTAAACGCTGAATATATTTTGGAATATGTACACGACACAATACATTTTCTTTGATAACATTTTTTAACGTATGTTAAGTAAATGGAATAACGAAACGTGTGGATGAGTGATTGATTTAGTTAGATTGAAAAATAGCCGAAGCGTCGGCCGTACACTCTTCCATACATGCTTGAATGGGTTACTATATAAAACTGGACTAAGTTTGTCTTTCCAAGACTTTGCATGCTCTCCCAGCTATTCGCCTCCGGATGTTCGCATAATTACATCTATTAAGCAAAACGAAGTCAGTTCAAAGTAAGTGTGTATTTAAAATACTATGAAAATGCAAAATTGAAAGAGTTTGTCAATAATATCTTAATGCGGACTTCAATATCTTATTTTTAAAATAAACGTGTAAGAGGAAAAAATCGCATTGATCGTGAAGGGTTCGATTTCTCCTACACTCGTACATATTATAATTTTGATCTATATAAGTTATATTGGTTCTGAATTTGACGCAAAGTGGAAGTAATGCGAAAAATTGCACGATTTTCATATCCTTATCTTTTGTGGTGAATGATTAAAATATGTTTCTAGGACGAAAAGGGTCCAGAACGAACATGACGTATTTGAGTAAGAGGGACGTGAGAAGCATTTTTTTTTTTTAATTCTCAAGTGCTTGATTTGTACGTTAAATTCAATGTAGTGCCAGTCACACTTTACTTCTGGGCTCTTAATTCAAGCTATTCTCTGATTTAAGAGATGATCCATCTCGAACATGGCTTTATATATTGATAATGAGTAGATAATGAATTCATATTAGCTTTCACATTTGTTAATATCATTTTCAACATCTCATATATATGGTATTAAAATGTCACTGCTCGAGTAACGGTCAATAGGAAAATGTAAACGCGAATAACCTAAATGAGCAATACCAACGCAAAGGTAATGCCAAGAGTAGGAGCAAAGGAGGAGTCATTGGACAGACAGCGAAGAGACAATGTAACCAAGCCTTCGCCTTTGCAGTAAACAACAGAAGGTCGCATTTAAAATTCTACCTAAGAACCTAAAAAATAGCACTTTGCCTAACTAATGGAAAATTCCCGTTCATTCGTTCACACGCTTAGGAAAAATGCCGAATCTTTCTCACAATCTTAGTGTAAGCGAATCGAGCTCCAATAAAACAGTTACATCATCTTTGGACATCTAGTGTATTGTAGCTGACAAGTCGGTGTTGCAAATGCTTTCTCAGAATGTGTTATTTAACCTATTGGAACCATCTGTTTTTCGAGAACTTGTACTGTTTGGATAAAGACTGTTTGGGTTCACTGCGTTCTAAATCCATGACTACCATGAATCTTAAGTTAATTGCAGGAACTTTTGCGAAAATTAATCTTATGATTTTTGACCAGGTTTGCAGTCAGCGTTGCTTTCTTTGCATCGGCTTGACATAAGTCAATCTGTTTTTTACCAACGGTTATTTTTGTAAAAACAAGTAATTACACGCCTAACAAAAGAAGGAGAAGAAAAAAAATTAGCTTATGTTGGCTTTTAGTTGTTGATACCTTTCCTCTATACATGATTTGTCGCCAATATGATGCAGCCAACGCTGCTCGCAATAAAAAAAAGTGAGTGTAAATGACAAAGGTCAAAACGTACGAATCACATAATAATTTTAACGGTACTCATTAGAATTTCGTACGGATTCCGACTTGCTCAAGAGTTCAAGAGTACTTATATGTGCATTGGCCATCGATAGGGAGAAAATTGCTTTACATTTTGCTTGAAAGTTTCCAAAGAAATAAAATATCGCAAAAATTTTTCTTCAAAAATTTAAATAGAAAACTTCAAAAATTCTTAGTGAAAAATTTTCGCAAAATTTAACGATAAAAATATAATGTAAGAAAAAATTGATTCATTATTGTCGCGATAAATTAAAAAGCTTTTCAAGCTTCTCGTACGTTAATCTTTAGAGATTACCTTCTATTTGTTTCATGGGATCTGTGGCGTAAAAGTTGGACCAACAATCTGTGGCGTAACAACTGTAATCCGTTATATTTGCACTAAGTGTATTATTGTTATCCACAAACGGCATCGTCGGCATTAGGGAATTTGAACATTCTGTTGGCCCCATTCTATTCGATACAGTTCTCATATAAATCGTTTGATTCATTTATGCCCCAGGTTTCTCTACAAATGTATTTACTAATCAATGGATTTTTGAAGACGTTTTTCTCGCAATTACGTTCCGAATGATATTGATCGATTTTTCGTGAACCTTTAGGCAAAAACAATTTTCAATTATTACAACACATACACACATATATATATATATATATATATATACGTGTGTATATATATCTATATCAATATATATATATATATATATATATATATATATGCATATATCAGATGATATAATGACTTCCGATAAACACATTTAGATTTCCAACAATCTGCTTAAGATAAGATCTTTTTATAGAATTTGCTATATAGCGTTTTTTTTGTTTTTTTTTTTATTATAGAGCTTTTGTTGTTCAATTAATCCACATTTGCATTTTAGCGAATCAATAAAACTTTCAACACAAAATATAATGAATCACGTAATAGTTTGATTTGAACAGTGACACGACACTATTTCAAACAACAATGCGAATTAAATCGACACTTTTAATAGACAAATGCACGTCCGGACGTCTTGTTGATCCATTGACACCTTATTTGCATTACATATATTTGTTGTTATTCTTATTGATGCTCTTCTCTTTTTTTTATTATTGCCATTGATAATTTAATTTTTGATCATCAAATGGTATCGAAAGTGTGAAATGAAATGAAATAAAAGCGTGATGAAGGAATTCAATCAGTAATTGACCGATGCCTGTAAACGTTGTTTAATCAAACGCGACATTCAATGACGTTTGGACCTGTGCCCATATAAAACAGAAAAAGAGCAAAAGCATAACATCAAAAAAAAAAAAAAAAAAAAAAAAACAAGTGGAAAAGTGAACCATTCTACGTCTACGCCCGACTTATGTTGTGTTCTCTGTACCGAGTTTGACTAGAATACACACAAAATCTTGAACGAACATCTCGCCTAAGAAAAATATTTTCACGAGAAAGAAAAAAGAAAAAAGGGAAAAATTCAATAAATAAAAACAAACAAACGCATCAAATAAGATCTCAAAACTGATCTCATATTCCACCAATGAATGCATTCCATATAATTGCTTAACTTAATAACTCGATTATAATGAGACTTTCTAAATTTATACATAAGAACGTATTTTTCTTGCCGTTCTTTTCACTCAATTCATTAGCAGTCTTCATGTAACCGATTGGCTGCTCTCCGCCTGATTATGAACCAATGATCATTAATATCTATGAGAAGAGTGCTTTCATTTAAGAACAACGAAAGTCTATTGATTTGATTTGAGTGATTTTATCCACAGTAGAAGCGTAAAGTTATACTAATTTTGTGATTATCGCTTATAACATTCAAAAAAAATAAAAAAATAAAAAACAACCATCAGACTAGATTCGACTTTATATAGAATTTGATGTCTGTCAGCTGTGAAATTCGTTCGTTACTCGCCTCGTATTGAAATACTGAGAGTCAAAGTCACTGAAACAAGCGCCCGTACCTGCTTTGCATTCACATGGCTTTTATGAATAAGCCTACGAATGCTTGAGAATTCTGCATGAATTTCTTATGGAGATATTTTACAATTTCTTCTCGAATATAATAATCACCGTTAAACGCCATCTCTAAATAATTCTCCGATAGTTGGAATTCTCAAGGTAAGAAAAGTTAAGATAGACAGCTAATACGTAATCCAATTAGATCATTTTTGCTTATAGTAACATAACTGTTAACTTTATCGTTTTCCTTAAATGAAAACTTACTAAGCTTGATACTCAATAACTCTCTACTCTGTATATCGGTCGACCGCGTCTTGGGTGAAAGCCTACGTCAAACGCTTTTTAATATTCCTTCCGCATCCTCCGACGTTTGGTGCCGATTTCAAAGGAAACCACCTAACCGATAAGCTAAGCTCATTTTCAATACTCCCGCATATGGAGATTAAATTCTCTCCAAACGACTTCCTTCGCAGAAACATTCAATGGCAATGCCAAAAAGACTCAAAAAGCACGACTACAACATTTTCTTCGTTCTGTACCCCTCCAGGCCGTATAGATAAGGGAACGTTGCGAACGTTAAGAACGTTACATTATTCAATGTTTCTAGTTTTTGCAAAAAACATTTCATTGTTCACTTATTACCGTAAATGATGATTCCATTATCTCACAGTAAAATCTGACTTGTAAAAATGACAGAAGAATATGATGACATAACCTCAAAAGAGAAAAGAAGAAGTAAAGTTCACCTTAATGCCCCATACGCTTTTTCATAGTCGGGAATGAATCACTTTTCTAGTAGGTTTTTATATTCTTTGTTTAACTTTTTCAATGTTATAAACTGATATTTAGATCTATACCAGCGTAGGGTTTGTAAAGGAACGGGGTTAAAAGGTTTGGCAAAAGATGTCCCCATAATTAACCAATTTAATAAAATCTCTTTATTGAATCATTGTGAAAATGAGGACATTATCAAATAGTAACAAAACGCTTATAACTGTAAACCATGTATGTTTACTTTTAATATTAACTTTGTAATTGAGGTTATGTATGCATATAAAATTATTCTTTATAAGAACACTTTTTTTTTTGACCAGGTTGACGTGAACGCTGAGAACTGTCGGTGGTGCATCTCTATTGATGTCTAGTTGAATCACCTTGATAATCACTACATCTTGATTTGATTGATAGGAGTATTACACGATCCACTTGAGATGCTACATCTTTCATATCCCAGCACAAATACGAAATAGTTGTCTATTCTGTAACAATCTTTATATATTAGATTTGAATTTTGAACAATTATTTTTATGAAATCATTGCCTTAAAAGTCCATTGCAAACAAGTTTATCGGTTGCTTCGACTTATGGCATAACCTACTCTACTTAGATGAAACAATTGATTTACTCGTCACTGAAGGATGACTTTTCCAAATTTTACATTCAGACAAAAGCTCTCATTATCGCAGAATATGAAGCAAGCCTTCAGTTTCTGAGTTTGCGGCTAGAGGTGACCCTTGAAAAAATCTCATAATCTATTCCCAAGCTGCGTCAATTTAGCTAAGTAACTGTAAAATTCGCACTTGTACACCGCATAACACACTACCGTAATCTCGTTCGTTAGTCGCGTTGCCCTATCTACTATGGTCCCTCCCATCGTTTCAAACGGTTGCACGTTCACGATCAACATTTATGAACATTACTCCCTTTTCCCTTCATCCTCCGCTTATAATCCTCCCTGGCCAACACTGTATATGCATTTAAATTGAACATTCCCAAAATGGTTAGTCCAATATAAATGACAATTATCGATCTAAAATTTACCATAAATATTTAATGGGGCTATCAAAAGACTCGTTTCGGAAATTATTATTCATACAATTAGGTAAAGCATTCATTGGGGCAGCAAACCTTAAAGATTACATTCAAAGCGAATATCGATTTACTTACTATCGATATATTTACCGATATTGGAATTATTATAATATATAATATCAATATTGTCTACCAATCCTATTCTATACCGGGCCGCTGATTGGGCATATCAGAATGAGTTCTCTTATAATGTTCTCATTGAAGAAGATCCGCCCTTTTTCGCGTAAATGCAGATGAAAGAGATAGAAAGAGATGAAAAATGTCAAGTATGTACGATGTGGGCAGACTTTTGGCCTAATTTAAGCTCACGGTATCCCATAAAAATTCAAAAAAAAAAAAAAAACTTATGCAGCACCAATAAACAAACAATAATGATATCCATTAAATTAACATTCACAATTTTGATTTGAGATCTCAGATCCGCGTACCTGTCTATATAAGCATAAGCATTTCATATACACAAACGCGTAAATATATGCCCTCTATATTATTGCTATGTACTCACTGCGCTACTTGCGCTATATTATAAACAAATTGAGTTAAATTATTTGGTGCACAAGCACTCCTGTTCGCTCTATTCGTTAGGATTGTAAAGCGCAAGCAAATTTTGTTTTCGGCGTAAATTGTTGCGTTTAAGCACTTAAGTAAAAGAAATTTAAATCAAAATGGAGATCTACCGCGTACGCAATCGCTGCATAATAAACCACAAAAAATGTGTATTATTTTCCTTCTCATTTTATTTATTTCTTTTTTTTGTTTTTTTTTTTTTATTATATTCATTCCTATTAATGATTTAATTATAAAACAAACGATTTAAATCTGTTTTCTATCTTTAACAGTACAAGCATATATACACACAAACAAGTTATTTATCATTTGCCAATAAGATTAGTAAAGGTTCGATGGCGTTATAAAAAAATAATAATAGAACGGAGTATTATCGAACGATCCGTTAATTTTTGAAAAAAAAAAAAAAAACTTACTCCTCTTAATTCACGCAGTTCTCCATGATTGCGAGTTCGACTTTTATATTTCTCTAGGAGTAAACATAATTCGCTTAGCGAGCTATTCTCGATGATGTCAACACATATCCAGACTGCCAGGCCTGATTTAATATTCCTCGATAAGTAAACACTGTACGCTTACGGATCTGTGTTTTTACGACAATGTAACGGCAATTAAAAAATTATTATTATTCACGAGAACTTGAATTTATTTTTTTCTTTTACTTTCTGTTTTCATTTCTTAGTTATTTTCAACCTTTCATCGATCGATGGCGAGTGCACCACTCTGACCTCATCGAAGTTCCTACGTTGAAATTATCGAAATAGTTTACACTTTCGCTTGTAAACGAACGTAACGATAGACTACATCAACTCTGAATTTCTGATTGAATTCTGATTTCATGTATATTGGCTTGGACCAATGCATACGTAATAATGCAGTTGTGCAGTGTGTAGAGATTTTTAAAACTGATTACGCAAACACGATTTCGTTCCGTTACGTTTCGTGTATGTCAGATGGAGCTCATCCTTTCGTGTAATAGAAAACACATATGATATGTTCGTAAAGGTGTTCCTTTAGGGTGTACAAAATCATTTTTAAACATTTGACTTGGGTTTGTGTGCTGAGAATATGTTACACTTTTTCATTTACCCTCAATGTATTATTATTATTATTATTATTATTAATTTCACCAGAGAAATAAATTCTAAGACTAAACTCTTAAAAGCACTAGGCATCTAAGGCTATCGGCCTTTATTAAAAACTCTACCGCACTTGAGATTCGAGCCCACGACCACTGAGTTGCTAGTCGAGACTCTTGCCTACTCGGCCACCCAGGCGGATTACCCTCAATGTAGAACGCGACAGAAATATGAATAGTGAGTTTTTGTGACACGAAGTGAAGAAGATTTCACCTTCGACAATATATTACCATATATCGTACGT